TGTTTTTTGACTATAGAAGCGTAGCTGTGAGGTCAGACCCGTACCATCGGCAACCCTGCTGAAAATGCAATATCTCACGTTTCAGTAGCTTGAACTGGTGGACAATCAGAACATGTTAGCCCTCATTCATGAAGTTACGTTAATGACGCATACTTTTTTCAAGTTCACTGTACTCGGCAGGGCACTCTTTGTTTTGCATTCAGTGCAAACGACGCGGACATCCCATCCGGTCCGTTCGATATTCGACACAATAACAAACCTTTAAGGCCGTTTTTCACTGGTGGGACATAATGGGAGAACATGTGCTCGCCATATGCATAGGCACACAAAATGGTGGCACGTGTTCGGCGGATACTATGTCATAATAATAATTGTCGGTCGAATCGTGATACCCTGTAGCGGCGAAGTGTTAGAACCGGTAGGGCAATGACGTATTTGTGGGGGGCCCAAGGGGGGTCGAACCTTTCATACCTCTTGATTTCCCAAAACACAAGAAATACATTGTGAGTTGTATAGGAGAATAAATCTTCATTAATATCAGCACTTTGATTTATTATTTTATTGGGTTGGTTCCATTAGTTTCCGATTTCGGCAGATTTGTCATTTTATACCCATGTTGGAGATATGAATACTCCAAATTATAGTTAATTATTTTTGTTTTGATCAGGGAAGTCTTCAATATTCACATACTTGCTTGATCTGTATTTCATTGGTTATTCTCGGGATGTATAACTTGTTTTTGAATATTCACGGCCAGCATTAGATTTTTGTCTCAAACACGATATTGTTTACCTCCATTTGATTATCAAGACAAACACAGTGGAGTGGAGAAATATAAATAATCGCATTATTATTGTTGATATGCTCACTAACCTAACATTTTCCACGTCTTGTTCCTATACGTGGCACTGGCGCGGTATTTGCCATTAGAGCACCTGGTCCATACACAAATATGTCACTCTGTGGTTGTATTCATTATTTTTTTTATGTTCTGGTTCTCACCAAAAGGGATATCCTGTAATGTTCAGAGAACATCGTGAGAACCAAGGAAAATAAGGTAGGAATTGGTGTTCTCCTTAAATTTCTGATTGTTATATGCCTCTGAGAGCACCTCCTTTGGCAATGTGTTCCAGAGCCTCGCTGCTCGTTGGATGAACGAGTCTCTGGAAAGAGATGTTCTGCAGGTCTCTAAAGTGACCACGAAGCCTAAACTCGACGGGTTAATCTCGCGGGAACTGCCAAAGGAGGTACAATTGTTGATATTTCAGAAGAGCATCGTCCATGAAAACATCTATAAAATATAGCCAGATCGCCAACTTTTTTACGGTGTTCCAGAGAAGTGAGTGAGTTTGTGAGCGAGGCATCACCCACGAGACGAATTGCCCTTTTTTGAACAGAATCCAACAGTTTCAAGGTATGTTTGGGTGCTGCACTCCAGATATGGGAACAGTATTCCAGGTCAGGTCGGATCTGTATAGATCATAAGCAGCTGACTGGAAGTGAAATAGCTCCTGGACCGAAACAGAAAACCAAGTTTTTGGGATGCACTTTTAGCAATTGATCTTACGTGATTTTCCCAAGAAAGGTTATTGCTGATAGTAATACCAAGCATCGAAATGGATGTCTTCAAAGGTATGGTTAGTCCTGACATGCTTATGTGAGATCGGCTTTCCTAGAGAAAAAGCATCTACCAAGTTATTGGATCCCCATTCGAGAATTGTTGCCAAGTCCATATTCATGTTGTCAACATTTCTCCCTCGTTCGTTTTTGATTTGCCTGGCTGGTATTGGAGCCCTGGAAGAGAAGGCGGTATGGAGGGTACTATCATCCGCGAAGCTGTGTACTGGACATGGAGTTGCTTTCAACAAATCTAAGAGAGTCAGATGAAACTCCGTTGACCACTACATGGAGAGACCTGTTTGAGAGAAAACTAGCTAGCAGAAAACATAGCTGCGGATGGAAGCTTGGCGAGGAGTCCGTGGTGCCAGACTCGATTCAATGCTTTGGAGATATCAAGTGCCACGGCTAAGGTTTCACAATATTTATCAATAGATTGCTGCTATATACCTATGTGAGACGTAAGCGAGCAGGTCACCAGTAGATCTCTGATGACGGAAGCCATATTGCCTATCGTTGATAATATCTGAATGTTCCAGGTATTTCATGAGCTCGATGTTGATAGCATTCTCCATGATCATTGAAATATTAGATAGCAGTTTAGTAAAACTAAAATTCGAACATCCTTGAATAAACCTGCTGTTAATGCAGGTAGAATATTCTCACCACACGGATTATTTGTTGCATTACATACATTGGTGGTTACTACACATATTCGTTTGAGTTAATTGTTTCGGCTGCAGAAAAAATAGCATGTTTCATTCTTATCAAAAGTGACTTCGTTTGACTCGCAAATTTTATTTTCGCTCGGCTTCGCTGAACGCTCAGCCTAGCAAATGCAAATGCTTGTCAAACAAAGTGTCACTTTTGATCCTAATAAAACAATCTACTATTATTCATCAAAGTTCAACCTTAGCTCCTAGAAACTGAAAGTGTTGCCTAGCAACATACCCATTCTTGTGTCATTAATAGAAACGTCAATTCAAGAGCTAATTTTGGTATTAAAATGGACGACTTTTGTGTCAGTTGCAGAAAAATAATGATTTCTGAAGAATTAGCAATATGGAGGTTCTTTTCTGAAACTTTCATATGTCCATTCCGAATGAAAAAATGCACGCCACTGTCACTGTCGTTGTGTCATATTGTCGAAAACGTGATTTGTTTTTTGTGGACGTTTAATATTGTCCGTAAAAGATTGTTTACATATCAGGCGCCATTTGGTTCGCTACAAAGGAAACCGTAAAAGTTTGTGGGAAATTCGAGACTTTTTATAGGTTTTATTAGTGGTACTTAACCCCAACCGGTGGAAATGACTCTTAGTTAAGAATCCATAAAAGTTGATTGAATGGTTCCTCGTTCCTCGATGCATGATGCATTATATTTTTTAACTAATCCAAACTGTTTTCTCTAAAGAAAATACAGGATGATCGATATTAACAGCTCATAAACTACTCAACATCGTTATTTGTTAAATTTTCGTATGCAAACATCTCAATTTCCATAATTTCAGTGTCTTTTATTTTTAATTTGGAACAGGTTTATAGGTCTATAGATCACAGTCTCCCCAAGTTAGAAAAAAAAAGTTTCATTGCATATTTCGTATTTGTACAAAACGATAACATAGTAACACAGATTTGTAAACTTGAAACCTGCGGATCTAAAGTAGTTAATCTTAGTCTGAAAAATTATAATTTTTCAAATATAATAATAGGAATAGGAATCATATCCGGCCGAGGCTACGAATCTGTTTCGTTCCAATTAACAGTGCTGTTCCTAAGGTGGAGCATGGAGTTAGTAACAAAGCCAACACAGACACCTCTCGTAGGGTCGAATAACAGGCCCACCAGTATTAGATTCTAGCTCGAGGTTGTGTGAGCTAAAATCTAATGTTTTCCGTGTATAATAAATATTTTTTTCTGTGACAGGAAAATCTGAAAATTATCGACATGGGAAATTCGAAGTTTTTTACACCTGCGTTGCAGGCATCTTCATCATTCTCTTGAATTAATCGAATATCTGTCAGTCCAATTCTGTGATTTGATTGCGAGCTTATAGTGGTTGTTTAGTTATTTACGTGAAGTGCAACGAAAGATAAAAGGACTTTCAGTTCTTTCTCGGAGACGGTGTTATTGGTATATTCTCCGGAACTGGTACAACAACAGAGTATACTTATATAAATATATCCTGGAAAAGAGTACCCACTTTTTTCCCACGGGAAAAAGTAATTTATGAAAAGTGACATTTCATAACATGTCAACATGAAATTTCGAAACTTTTTCCCGTCACAGAAAGAACGTTATTTTTCAACGAGGAAAAAACTTCTTCAAACGTCTTCATTGAAAATTTCACAGAGTGATAGGTGATTTTTGAGAGAGTGACAAACCTTGAATATTTTTATTCGAATTGAATCTGTGATTTTCTGTGATCACAAGTATATCGTATATATATACACATATATATATATATAGGTTATCAACGTGAAATAAACTCAAAGTCGTCTCCACAAGTATACTAGCGGAATGTGCAGTTAATTCTGCTTCATTACTTCTGATTGATACATGATACAGTTGATGTGGAAGTGGCTATAACATCCTGAAGACGAAAAATTCTTTCATTAAAAGTTCAGTTTGATGTCAAATTTAGTTTACTTTTAATAATAGTTATTTATTATACAAGGGAAAAAAGTAGTAGATTTTAGCTCCAGGTTGTGTTGTCTCCCGACGCGTAGCGGAGGGAGACAAAAAACCGTGAGCTAAAATCTAATATTTTTCCCGTGTATAATACACTATTTTTTTCTGTGACAGAAGGAAGGACGAATCAATATTGAGAAGATATTACATTATTTCGAAATCTGAAAATTATCGACGTGAAATTTCAAGTTTTTAACAGTAGGGACACCTGCGTTTTATAGGCATCTTCATCATTCTTTTGAAGTAATCAAATATCTGATGTCACTTCTGTCAGTTCAATTCTGTGATTCGATTTTAAAAAATTGCGAATTCAGTAGTTGTTTAGTAATATACGAAACCGCGAAGTCGAATGGAAGATAAAAGGACTTGCAGTTCTTTCTCGGAGACGGTATTATTGACTCATTTTTCGGAACTATAGCACAGCAAAAGCCATTAACAGAGTATATATATGTGATATATATCCGGGAAAGAAGTACTCACTTTTTTCCCACGGGAAAAAAGTAATTTATGAAAAGTGACATTTTATAACCTGCCAACAGAGATTAAATGCCAAACTTTTTTCCCGTCACAGAAAAAAAGGATTTTTTGTCTTCATGATGTTATAGCTCGTGTTATAGCCACTTCCACATCAACTTTATTTGTACTATGACTGATGATGAGTTATGATAGTGAGATATGTGATTTGATACTTACTTGTTCTACAAGGGGAATATTCTTCAAAATGATCGAAAGCTCCATTTGAAACGAAACAAGTGCCGACTGGATCTCTTCTGTTGAGATCCCTGGTATACCAAACATAACGTGGTGCGCATGCCTGAAAAAAATGAAATGATTATCAATATATTTCCACTTCCACTTATATTGGCGCTGCTGTGTCAGCACAACATTGAATGCATGTAGACATTATCTCATGATTATCTATTAAACAATAATTAATGAACCGACAAAGATATAGGAGAATCTTGAATATGGCTATAGTATGAAATAATATGTACTCCATTTTCATCCAGATTGTGGTGAACTTACATCTACATTTTCTGGCCAATCATTCATTATAAATGGAATAACCCTCGATAAGATTATATATTTTCGTATTTCAACTGCAATTTTATGATGGTCAATGGGTAACCCATCTGAAATTATTGAATTTAAATCATTGGTATGACTTTCTTGATCCTCTAAAACGAATTTCGTTTTGATAGGATGCATTGATAGCATATCAGCAATTTCACTCTCAGAATCTCTCACCCATTCAATTCAGAGAAAAAAAATTGATGAATATACTACTTATCTCTGGAATATACTAGCAGCCATGATAGGAATACCTTCAGACTCCCCAAAAATAGACAAAAGTGGTTCATGATCTGTTAGCATACAGAATTTATTACCAACTTTTTTACTCCCCAATAATTTGCTAAAGCCTCCTTGTCAATAACGGAATAATTTTTCCCAGCTTGCATGAGAGTTCGCGAGACACAACCAATTGGTCTCCATTATTCAGTCTATGTGACAAGGCACCAGTAATACCATACTGAGAAGCGTCAGTTGACGAAACTATGGGCAGACTAGAATTAGAATGCACAGGAACATTATACGTCAAAATCGTTTAAATCTACATTACATTCAGTATTCCACGGATTTTACAATCTGTTCTGAGCAAATTATATGTAGGAGACATTACTGATACTGAGTCACAAAAAAAGCTTTTATAACAATTCACCATTCCAGCAAAACTCTGGATTTGACTGTAATCTGTTCTTTTTGGTGCGTCTAGGATAGCTTTGACTTTATCTTTATTTTTCATCGAACCTATATTCTAGTTATAGTATGACCAAGATAAGTAATTTCGTTCTGGAAAAATGCACATTGAGATAACTTCAGGTCTATAGTTTTGAGCATTCACCTTCACTTATATCTGAGAAAATTTCTTCAATTCTCAGCAATGGATAGTTTACCTCAACCAAACACTCATTAGCAGTTGATCTGTAATCAGCACACAGTCTATCTGAACCATCAGGTCTCGCTAGTGGAACTGAAGAAGTTTCCCCTTCGCATGATTCAATCAGACTGATTACACTTTCTAGTTTTAACCTATCAAGCTCTGATTCAACCTCATCCCGAAAAGCAATAGGTATAGGGCTATGATAAAAAAAATGGTTAAAAGTTGTCTTCTAACTGTGAATGTGAATGGAAAGTTTGGTCAGTACTTGAAATATCCTGAAACATTTCCAAAAAGAGAATCGCAATTCTTCAAAATAACTGGTAAACTATTTGAACCACTCAGAACATTCGAAGTGAGCACAAAATTCAATTCACTGAGAAAATCTCGACTCAATAGATTCTGATTTCTATCCTAAAGCATGAAATTCACAAGCAATCCCTTGATATTCCATCTTCAATGTAACCAATTGGTTTGATAACAGTCCCTGAAAAACCTCTTGAATTGATATCAATATCCCTAATTGTACAAGTAGACAACAGACTCTGGTAACAATCTTCAGAAATTACAGAAAGTCTTGCTCCACTGTCTATACCTGCATCGATAAGGTGACGTCGTTGATAGAAACATCTGTATAAATTGGATTAGTGTAATCAAAATTGATATTGAAAATATCTACATGATCGAACTCGCCTTCCTTCGACTCCTTCATTATCTACTTCTAAAGAATTTTGTTCGCCTTCACACACTTTTGCTAAATTTCCAACTCTGCGACTAATGTTACATGTGAGAGAAGCATATCTACATGATTGATTTCCTGTATGGAAATGACTACAAGGTTTACACTTTCATTCACCCTGATGTAGATACATCAATTTATGTGTGACATGCCTCTTTTCACCAGTTGACTTTGGTCTGAAGTTTGCCTTCAACACATTAATTCCGGTAGATTCCAACTTTACTGCCGAAGCTTCTTTCATCAGTGCTAGATTTTTTCCAAAGAAGTTTGTAGCTTCTCTTTGCACGGTTTCTCTCTAATCGACCTTTTTTTCATAGAGCGAATGAACTTATCCTTGAGGTATTGGTCCGAGAAGTTTCCGAATTCGCAGTTAGACGCTAAATTATGGATTCTATCATAACTGATAATCATCACTATGTGTATTTCCGATGAAACATTGAATGAGTTGTTTGCAAACCCACGGTACGAAGAAACATTCATTGTTTTCATATAAATTATTCTTAATTCCGAAGGTCCAAAGCATTCTGCATCCAACCCAACATTTCATATCTGGCAGTGTTAATAACATTGAACCTATGAATCACGCCATATCTATTTTGGATCTTCTCATGGAAATAAACAAAAAACTCCCGAATAAATGTGAGTAGCTAAGTGAGATTTTGATGGCAAAAGTCCAAAAGTACATTCTCTTTCATAAATTTATGTTATTTCTATCAATATCACTGCACTCTGCACTACCCTACTATCTAGACTCTAGACCAATATATAGTAGGTCCCGATGGGCCTTTTTTGCTAACCCCTGTTCTCCACATATCTATCTACGCTTCCTTCACCTAGATTTCCTTTACGAATCTCCCTGACCTACTGATGAAGGTCAGTATGTCCGTCTACTCTGATATGATCAACTCCTCCTGTTGGAGTTTGTCGACTTCAAAGATTTCAAATCTCAGCCTCCCGTAATCCTCGCACCCGCCGAGAAAATGAAGTGACGGGAGAGTTATGTATTTTATGATAATAATAATAATGATGAATCGTCTTTATTCATCATTCGCAAAAAAATCGCACAAAAAATCAAACAAAGATATTTGCCAAACCTTATACCTATCTGCAATTGTGAATAGGCGGAGTATCAGCAGAAAGCTGTTCTTCAACTCAACCCCATTATCTTCTTCAGAAGAATAACAGATCAACAACTCAACACCCCACAGCTCAGGGCGCGGCACACAAACAGATAATCTTCACGATTACGGTACAGCAGTTGAAGGACATTTGTAGGACTCGGAATTTCGATTTTACTAGCGGGAACGCATGTATACTTGACAAATGCTAAGATCATGATGAAGCCGTGGTGGTCGCATGTTTTTTTTGTGCGTGGGCACCCGAATAATATATCGGAGATGTCCGAACGGAGGAAAGATGTATGATCACAGGTGAGCTCAGCCAATCAACTTGATTGATTAGCTTCATTGATGAGTTCACTCAGAGCAGGTGATTTTGTTTTAGAAAAATAATTTGATAATGGTGATTATTCGTTAACCTAGCACTAGCTTAGTGTTAACATTATAACTAAATTGTCTGTAATTTATGGTATCTGAATAAATCTGAATCTGAATCTGAATTAGCGAAGTGAACATTTTCTTGTAACAATCGACTTTTTCTTCGAGACAATGATTTACATGACGAATTTTCTCTCCATGCTTGCAAGATAACCAAGATGACTGAAAGCCGCGGAGGCAGGCCCCAATCAAACAGCCTGTATATGATGGCCAATTAGCTAATTTTACCGACATTTCAAAAAACCTACCATGCCAAGACACCGTCTTGCCATCTGGCATTATTCTTCGATTCCATCATCAAATCACCGCCAGAGCAAAAACTTGACAAATTGTGAGTAATCAGTATCATTATATCCACTACGGCTGCCACTTCAAAATACCCTTTGAAGTGTCATTTAAAGCGCCTATCAGTGGCGTCGCTACGAGGGGAATAATGGGGATCAATCAATCAATCGATACTGTGCTTTACTGTCCAAGAATAATATTTCTTATTGACAAATCATGGTTTAAAATTATTCTAGTGGTTCTCCACTGTGTCCAGTAGGAAGTAATATAATGATATGTATACATATATAAAAACAAATGAAGTCAACATTGTAAAAACATACGAAAAAATACAAATAGGTACATTATGTAAATTTGAACAAACACCATTAAAAAAAGTAGTAAAATCATAATAATCTTGCTGAAATACCTATATATGTGTCGCAACCTAGAATCTCTCATCGTAATACTCCTGTAGGTGATAATATGCTCTTGGAAAGAGAAAATCCGCAACACTTTTTCTGAATTTTCTCAAATTCTTGATTGCTTTAAAATGCTGTGGCAGATGATCATAAATTTTTTTGCTTTCGTAAATCACAGAAATTTTGGTAAGCGTTGTCTTTGGTATTGGTAGTTTTATATCATTTTTATTCCTAGTATATACATTCAGATCCAGAGAGATTCCTTTAATAATAGGCTGATATTTGTGAATCAAACAAACAGTTTCCAAGATAAATAGGCACGTGAGTGTAAAAATTTTACAATTAATGAAAAGAGGTCTACAATGGTCACTAGATCTAGCTTTACAAAGGTATCTCACTGCTCTTTTCTGTAAAACAAATACCGGGGACAGTAAATGTTGACTACAAGAGCCCGAGAAAGCTATACCATATCTAATATGAGATTCTATGAGGGAAAAATATGTTTTTCTAGCAATATCAGAACCAAGCTCATTTGACACAATTCTAACAGCATAGCAACCTGACGCTAACTTTTTTCTCAGAATATGTTCATCAAATCTCAATTTGTTGTCAATGTGCAAACCCAAGAATTTAGTATTCGATTTGTTTTCAAGGTGATGTGAACCAAGAGTGAGATTGTCAAATTTGAACTTGAAAGTTATGATATTTGTTCTGTTCGTGTTGAAAAAGAAGAATTGCACCAAGATTTGATTTCGTTTAAGTCGTGTGAAATGACTTCTTTGAGCGTAGCTATATTTTTTCCATGCCAAATAAGAATGGTGTCGTCTGCAAATAATGTGAATTTTCCTGTAATGTTCAAGTAAGCTAGATCATTTAGATACAATAGGAATAAAA